AATAAAATTTTCGTTAACCGAGTTATACTCTATAATGCTTATCCTAGGTATATTGACGATAATAAAAGTAAGTCACTTGAGCAATTGTTGCCCCCCCCCCAATATCCTTATCGATAGTGTATACTGTATTTATTTATATATTTCATATGAAGATCTGTGGTTCGTGGTGACATGTAAACCCCCAGGCCAGTCATTCCAAGTGAATAATGAACACGTATCCAGACTGTTTGCCGCCCTTGTCACTGGTTATCATCGCTTTCAAGTGAAATCAGCAATAATTAAAGAAACCGCCTTGGGTATAATGATCTGGTTCTGTTTACCCCACTATAAAACTGGTGACTTTTGTCAAGTGTTACGTTACAAGCATGACGCGAGACTAAACATCACAAGTTACTTTTGTTGTTCAAGAATATTTGTGAAAGATTTCCTCAAAATTTATTACTTTAATGTTCCTTTGGTAACGAACGCCCTCTGCAGCTCTGTAACGCCCATCACCTAACAATCGTGACATTATAACAAGCGTGAGTTGTCATTACATAAATATAAGTAAGTTTTGGCATCTCTGACGTTTTAACTGAAACTAAAATGCCTAAGGGAGCATTAAAAATTTACACGCATTTATAATGAGACAAAATAATGAAAATATACAAAATTTATTAGCCTGTTCTGTTGTAACTAGTAAATAAGTTAAGTTTTTTCTTCGATCTTGTGACCGATGTGTTCTTCTGTGCATCAAGATTGCAAGAATGGAGTTCGTCTTTCTGGACCGTAACCCTATTGTGATATTTTGTACGCCTGTCGTTTGTTTGTTATGAGTATTCGAGCAAAGCTACACAAGGGTTATTTGCGCTAGCACTTCCTAATTTTGAACTGATTAGATGAAAGGCAGCTAGTCAACAATACCCATCTTAAACCTTTGGATTTTTCTAATCGAATTGTTGGATTTGACCGTTACTCTTATAATGCACCCACTTTTAAACGAAGAGTGCGATTTTTGCGGCAATGAAAAATGAACCATGGATCTTCAGTTGTTTGTCGTTACTGTAGTTGCATATTAAGTACTTCAATAATAATGAAATGTGTAGTTGAAATGTTTGATTGCCTTAACGATCAGGTTAATAACCAAATAAGCCTGCTGTATAGATCAAAAGTCTTTCGGCTGCTCGCATTCTTACTGTTTGTGTATTCCTTCAAAGGCGTCGTTGTTATTGACTAGATTAGACAAACTGGAATCCGTGTATGTTTTTAATATTCAATACAGCTTTAAACACTAAATTAGGACACCCATTCAGTTGTTTAAACAACTCCTTGTCTACGTTAACCAATAAAGGAAAACAGTTTGAAGTGGTGTGTTGTTAATAATCCCACATTGTAGTTGCCTCGAGCTTATACGGCGTGATACGATGAATACTTTGATAAAATAAACATCTATTGTTAATCTCGTTTATTAATTCCAGTCACCGTATTTCAATGAAGCAACATGCTATTCAGTATTCGAGACGCATACCTTAATAGTTGAAATATTCCACTCACACTGTTGTGCAATTCACTACCGTAAACATTCGCATTTTCAATGTGTAATCGAACACTGAAGAAAGAATATTCTAACTTTCCATAAATAGTGTTTTGTTTGTAAATATAGTAAGATGTAATGATAATGTTTCATAAGGTCATCAAAAATCTATTCACGTAGAACATTGAACAAAATTTATTCTTTTTTCCTTATTTGTTTGCAGTCAGAACCATTGTATTGTGCATAGCTTCAGGCAAATTTATTTGTTATGTCTTCCAAATACTTTCGAAGACTTGGTTGTTAGCTTACGAAACTTTCTTGTTTTATTCATATTTATGCTTCCTAAAATCAAACGGTACAGTAACACTACCGGTACCGCATGTATATATTTAAAGAATGCCAGAAATCCTTATAATATACTCGAATGTCTCAGACTTGGGCTTGGTTTGTTTGGTTTGTTTTGAATTTCGCACAAAGCTACACGAGGGCTATCTGTGTTAACCGTTCCTAATTTAGCAGTGAAAGACTAGAGGGAAGGCAGCTAGTCATCACCACCCACCGCCAACTCTTGGGCTACTCTTTTACCAATGAATAGTGGAATTGACCGTCACATTATAACGCCCCCACAGCTGAAAGGGCGAGCATGTTTGGTGGGACGGGACTTCGAACCCACGACCCTCAGATTACGAGTCGAGCGCCCTAACCACCAGGCCATGCCAGGCCTGACTAGAGGGCTATCATAAGTGTATGTGCGAGCATTGGTTTTTTTTCTCTTTTACGTTAAAAAATAGACTGCTTTTAATAAACTTGGCTAAAATAACTGCTCGTTAGAGGTGCAATTTGAAATATAGAAAGTCTGAACCGTTATTAATAGAAGTTCCCTCATTTTGACATTAAGAATTAGCAAAGCCTGAACTTAATCTGCTCAAAATAGGTTGCTTAGGCCTACTTTATTCTTTCTACAGATTAACAGTTAAAGAAGAAAGTTTTTGATGGGCAAGGAGTTTTGTTTTCTATGTTCGTGAAATACTAGGCTAAATTGACTACGTGGCATAACTAAAAATGTCGGTAAGTTTCTAGTTGTAATTTAAATATCATGATATTAAAATAAAAAACACATGAGATTAAAATTTAGGTACGTTTTGAAACAATAAATCCAATAATCTGTACACTTTGGGAAAGAAAGCCCTTCCTTCTTCAGAGGTGAATTGGTCTGTAAAAGATATCTGCTATTTACGTGGGATGAATTTGGGTATTTGTAAGGGAAGTTTGTTTATCTCGATGTAGAGTGTTTGGGCATACCAGCAAATGTTAACGAACTAATAGCTTTACTGTGATCAGTTCGTTACAGAAAATTTTTTATGTTAATATTTGTTTGCGAAGTTAATTTTTCGTTGATTGAACACATTGACACGTAGCAGCAAATGGAAAAGAATTTAATTTCTCGGTATGAATTTCTATTAAAGAAGTGATAGGAATAAAAAGAATTATCATGCTTTAACAAGTACAACCTGTCTTGACTTCTTTCAGGTCACAGCTTAAAGCTGTGATAAAACTTATAAATTCAGTTATTATAAATCAGATGTAAGATCCAGTTGCACAGTGGTTAGTAATCAAGAGTCTTAAGTTTCAAGAGCCCAAGTTCGCGTCCCGTTAACACAAAAAAGAAAAAGATGGCTTTCACTTTAGAGCCCGTTATAAGTTTCGAGAAATTGTGAGATTTCGTATGCCAGAAATGGAACTGCCGCGCGGAATTATTCGCTGGCTATCAAACTCTCTGGAAAACAGAAAATGCAAAATAAATGTAAGGGGGACCTTCTTAGAGACTTTTACTCCAGAGGCTGGTGTACCCCAAGGAGGAGTAGTTAGACCTATACTATTCATCATGTATGTGAGCAATATGCCACTTAAACATCCCAATTTCGGCTCTTCCTCACCATCAGCAGACGATGTCGCGGTTTGGAAAAGTGCTCCTACTCCCTCACTAGCAGCCACAAATTTACAACCCCAATTAAACAACATTGTTAAATATTGCCCAAAATATCGTATTAAAATAAATATCCCCAAAAGTCAACTAATAGTATTTGCGAAACTGACTAGACAAAAAAAAAAAAAGAGCTACATGAATGGAACACTATTCCAGACCACAACATCATCAAAATTTCTAGGATTAACCTACGATTCGAAATTAACGTGGATAAATCATATAATAACAATCTTCTAACAAGAATCTGGAAGTGATCGAATTATATAAGGGGTTTAAGCGGTAAAAACTAGGGAACTTCACCAGAAAACATAATCAAAATATATAAAACCTATATACGTCCAGTAATTGAGTACGTACGTTCGGCTTTGATAGTACCCAAATACATTAACAAACTACAATCAATACAAAACACCATACTCAATATTGCATACAAAGTACCCAGATGCACATCATCCAAATTCATACACAATTATGCAAATATACAAACCATATCCGATAGACTCCTGCATAATTCGCTAAATTACTTCTCGAAAAATTGGCAAAAGAATGACCTGCCATGCGAATTAGATCGCTTTTGCATACATGATGATAATAGACCCAAGCACCTCGCTCCTGTTAATATCTATATTAAAAATAAAAACTTAATAATGCTACCTATTACTAGACCAACAAATCTACACTGGTCTAGTATTAACTTGAAAATATTTAAAATGGTATTTATGTCAAATGTTCTCAGTTAGTGCTACCTAGTGAGTTGTGTTTTTATATGTGATGAACTGTTCGTTATCGTACAAGACTATGTAACACCGAACTGAGCGAACACATAAAATCACAAGAATAACTATAGTAATACCTATATGGACATAGCCCTGAAAGGGGTCAGAGTAAGTGCGGTCTACTCTTACCCTCATGTAGTATTATTAATACTCATCAGTAACCACCAACTTCAGCACAGGAGGGAGGAAGAGGTTACAAGAACCTGACCCTCCCTGGTCTTTAACTACCTAAATCCCGATCATGATCGACCAACTGCGGAAGCACCTCGAGGAACCACGCATATATAAAAGAAATTTGAAATGATTTAAGGAAAACTCCTATTTTTGACACTGCGAAATGTTTTATTGATTGGATTTTACCCAAAAAAGGGAACTGTTTTGTTGACTAAGAATCTTAGTAGGATTTTTACGTAATTCTGTGTTGTATCCAACTGTTGCTTGTTTGGCTCTGTTCAGGACGTTATTAATGTATTAACTTCTCCACTTATCTGCAGTTGATTTACATATGTTGCAATTACATATATTTTAGGACTAACATAGTACATAAAAGCGTGTAATCAACTTTTTCTGGTTTTTCTGGAACTGGGAGAAGGTTAATACAAACATTAAGATAACAGGAAAAATTGGGGAATTTGATATCCTTCCCTCTTTTCAGAATTTTGTTATTATGTTGTAGCTTTAAATGTAGAATTATATGTTGTTCAATACTGGACTTTTTTTTCAGGTTTGAACTCTGAGTTATACTACGTGCGCGACGGAAAAGTGAATACCTACGCCCTAGGATTTGAAGTAGTTGTACCAAATGAAATATCTGAGCTTCGTTTTACTTGGGAAAGTTTGATTCATCAGAAGGTAAGAGTTTGGTTTAGGTATCTTTCGTACTCTTGCCAAGTTGAAGTTGTAGAAAGTAATGTTAACATTTTTGTTTGAGTAGTTAACAGACACAGTTGGTATGAGTAGTCCCAGAAAACGATAATCAGTTAGTATTGATCACAAGCCAAGGGATTAACTCTCGTAAAGGCACTGTTTATAACCCAGCCGATTTTGTTGGTTTAACACGCACACGCGCTTAAGATCTTTTGCAGTAATGTAGAGATGAAAGATAATTGTGAAGTCATTTGTTTTATCTAGACAGTTTAACGGGCTTATCCGTGTCTGCTTGACAGTTTGTGCCTTTGAATAAATGTAACTTTTGACACACACACACAAAAAGAAGTTGAAGCTTTTCAAAATCCAGTTCGTGATTTGTTTGACTGCATCTTGCAGTCGTGGCAAGAGTTTCTTTCTGTGTTGTTAGCTCGAGACCGTGTGTTTAGAATGGCAGCCGTTGACCTCCAAGTACAGAGTTCACTTCTGACCTGTTGTTCTAAATGTCGTAGGACCGGAGCCCATCTTTACTTGACGTTGGTAGTGCCTAAGCTTTATTAAAACTGGTCAGACGAACATAATGACATGCTGGCGCCCTTATTTCTGATTTTGTATTGACTGTCCATGCACGAAATCACATGATATTGAGAACTGATGGTTAGGGGTGTATCTAACTTTGTAATTTTGTGCACGGTCACTTTTGTTTCTCTCATTAACAGAAATATTCTGACTTTTAATGAAACAGACTTAGCGTGCTGTTTTAAATTAACTAATCTAGCGTGCAGCTCACGATCACGTTAGTAATCGTACTTACCATGGTCTAACCATTCATTTTATTTGCTTTTAATCGATAGGCTGATAGAGTTTTAATCTCACCACTCATCATACTCTGCCCCCCAGAGGCACAGCGATATGTCTGCGGGTTTACAACGCTAGAAACCGGATTTCGATACCCGTGGTGGGCAGAGCACAGATAGCCCATTGTGTAGCTTTGTGCTTCACTACAAACAAACATCATATTCTTCTGGAAAACATTCCAGCAATTTATAAGAAACAAACAATTTTAAAATTATTTAATATAATTCCTTAAAGCTCAATAGTTGTTTATTTTATATTTTTAATCATTGTGGTTTCTGGGAATGAGTTTTACTCTTCTAATTAAATTTGAACTGTTGGAAATTCAAAATATTTAGTTCTGATTTGGTTTACTTTGAACTCGATTTTATAGTTTTATAGCTAGATGTAATGGTCTCTCTCTTCTCATGGGTTGCTTTATCCAGTAGATCACTGCATCGTCGTGATCCCCCCCCCACCCCCTGTGGTTCAGCGGTAAGTCTGAAGGCTTATAACACATAAAAACCGGTTTTTGATACCATTGGTGGGCACAGTACAGATAGTCTATTGTGTAGCTTTGTGCTTAAAGATAAACAAATAAGCAAACATCGACATTCATGTGATGAAGACAAGTTTATTTTCATGTTAAAATGTTACTGACTGTGATACAAGGTGAAAATTCTTTGTTACAAATTTATTTGGTTTCAGATCAAGTTTAAATAGTGTGATTTATACTCTTAATCTTAAGACGTTGCAGAGAACAAGCATGCCAGCTCTGAGCTTTTCTTAATGTGTAATTATTTTAATGTATTTATTCAAAAGTCAAACACAACCTACTATTTACCACAAAGTTTTACTGCTTTTATTTTTATCATTCAATGGTTCAGTGGTAACTTACGTATTTATAACATTGAAATTCGGGGTTCGTTCTTTGCGGTAGACAGAACACATACAAACAAACAAAAACTTAAGTAAATACTACTTTCAAACTTTCAAGTAAATGTTAAAACCAAGCCTCTCATGACGGTTATATTCTATCAAGAATGGCAACATTTGATCTGGGACACCAACCGATTGTAACTACCATTTTCAGCTCAAAAACAATTAATTTGTGTTAGAGGTGGAAAATAATTTGAAATATTTCGACATTTTAATACCCTAAAAGCTTGTCCGCATTTTACTAACCGAAAAATATATAAATTAAAATGGCAGCTCTTGTTAAGTTTTACATTTATTAAAATTTGGTTGACCTTGTCATATCTTTTCTTTCTTCTGCAATAATCCTCATCTTATACTTTCAAACACACATACACACACAAATAAAAAAGTTATTGGTCGTTAATTGGTGTCACAATAGTGTACAAGGGTTGTTCATACCAGCTATTATGAGAGTATTAAAACATAAGCACCTCAGAAATTCTTTAGTTGTTGTTGTCAAATGCGAACGGAATCTACGTTTATAACAGTCATCTTATATTTAAACATTTCAGTCATTTGTTCGATTGTAATATCTTCCAATAATAATAATAATAAAACAACATAGTATGAATTAGATTGTAAAACTGCCAGATTTTTATCAAGATGGTAGTAAAGTTATGTAACTAATGAAATTGTCAGTGTTGCCCTCTAGTAGGCAAGTCTGTGAAGAAAATATCTTTCAAGCGTAATAAAAATGTTACGACGAAATTGGGCACGATGAAAGAATAATAAATTGAGAATAAATTATAAATTCCAATCGCCCGATTATTTTTATATTTTCTAAAACCACCGTTATAGTATGTTACACTGTTATTTGATAATTATATATAATGTTTAAAAAAGTGAAAATTATAATTTATTAATTATACAAAGAGCAGAATCCAAAATCTTGCTATATATTGAAACTTAAAAGTGAAAATGTATTCCTAAAAACGTTATTTCATTTTACAAACGGTCCCCAGTGGCTCAGCGGCATGTCTGCAGGCTTATAATGCTAAAAATCGGGTTTTGATACCCATGTTGGACACAGCACAAATATCCCATTGATTATCTTTGTGCTTAACTGAACAAATACACAATAAAACATTTTATAAACCAACTTATCTAAGAAAATAATACAGTTTGCAATGTTTTTCAAAAGCTTGCACTGAGTGTTTTGACTATTCTTATTCCAATAGCATCCTGGATTGTCTTGTTGTTTATTAAAATTAGAAGTTGTCATGTTGTCCAACAATGTGCGTTTCATACCTGAAGGACTGGAAGTTTAAGCATATTGTTTAGTTGAAAGTTGACTGCATGACAGACACTGAGTAAAAACAATACTGTAGGGGTTTCGCCTTCGAATGTCGAAAGTCGTCTGAATGCTGGTTTGCTTTTTCTTTGTGATACTAACATTTCCCCTTGTAATGACGGTGATGGATTAAAGTGTTTGCACACAAAGCAATCGTCTTAAAATGAAAACGGAGTTGTTATTGCATTCTTTGAAATAAAAAATAGGCTTAACATCACATGCAGATTAGCGTGGTCTGCTATATATCTACTAAAGCAATTAAAGTAACAGAAACTATCCGTGCAAGAGAGACTGGAATAAGGGGGAAAAGTTGAATTAAATATGAAAATGAATTAATAAAATAAATATTAATAGGCAAAACAGTAATTAAATCAAAGAAAAAGGCTGAAAATATATAACAACAGTGAACATTGTATTAATTATAAACATGAAATGCAATTAAATAAACTGAAAGTAATAATAAAGAGCATAATTTTACTTTATAAGTTACTAATTGTGTTTTATCAATACCTACAGAGTAACTAAGCATTTCAATAACTTTTATTGGCATGCGTTTTATGGTTTATAATTATATTAAACTATTTAAGTTTCGTGATTGGCACTCGATTTAGCAACTTATATATATATGTGTGTTTGCACATTATTGTGTTCTAGCTTTAGAGATGTATACAAAGGGTTAATATGGTCCAGTAGTTAGTGGGACGGGTAGCAAATCAAAAGGTCCAAGGTTTGAGTTGCGATAAGCTGCTGAATACGCTCCTTAGTTTCAGCTATGGTGTGTTTTAACTCTGACAAGCAATTTCTCTATTCAGTTAATGGCAGCAACATAATTGGGGATGGGTACTTATCCTCCCTCTGGTCAGCAGTTCTAAATTAGGATTAGCTATACTTGAACTTTAAGGACTTCTGCTCTAACTACTTAACCCGTGTGTCGCAGAAATTGAGGTGTCAAGACTGAAAGTACTAAATACATATCACATTCCATTTCAACTGTTTATAAAATAATTTTATACAAAAATAAACGGTGTGTAGTTTTATTACATATATACATTTATCTAAATAATAACCAAACATAGAACCAATCTGAAAAACAACAACAAATATTGCGTACATACCCCATCCTATCAATTAGTTTGCCTTCTACATATTTGTGAAGAATGTTAAGCAGGATCAAAAACTTACAACGGATGAGTTTAGCACTTCAACCTGTCTTCTTCACTACTAGCATTTCAAATTCATAGACATGACTTTTAAACTGGCTCGTGGTGTTACCTGCTGATCGCAGAGAAGATAAAACATATTTATGATGGAGATTGTCTTTAACAACATCGGTAAAGTTATTAGAACTGTGAAACTCATTTATTAAAGTCAGTAGCTCTGAAGTTAAAAACTTGAACTTACTGTAGTATTTTCAGTTTCTTTATGTCGTTGCCCCCCTGGTAGCTCAGCGGTAAGTGTATGGCTTATAACGCTAAAAATCGGGTTTCGATACATGTAGTGGGCGTGGCACAGATAACCCGTAGTGTAGTTTTGTGCTTAACAACAAACAGTTTACCCTGTTACTAAAGCTATAGCTTATAGTTGTAGAATAAATATTTTAGTGAACCAGATGATACTTTCTTAACATTTTAACCTCTTTGTTTCAAACTTTATTAAGATTGTGGAAAAGTGTTACACATATCTTGAATAATTATAAAATAGTTTTGTGATTGACATTTTCCAATTTTTAATCATCTTATAGAAAAACAAATTAGTGAATGTTAGGAGATGTAATTGTAATTGATTTTTTTTTAATGAAACTTGCTGCAGTAAATGAACGTCTACTTCTCTATATCCGATGACATAAAATGTTTTTGTGCTACCTTTACGTTCCTGGAATTAAATTACCTAGCCAGAGTTCGATTAGCGTTGTTTTGTTTTTCAACTGTAGTTTCTTTCTTCGTTTGAATTACTTTACGCACATTTAACGACATGCGAAATTTGTAGTTGGTCCCGGAGAATGACTTCTTGCAAGTTATTGAAGGAGAAAAGGACTTGAACTACAAGCTAGCTAGAGCTAACAATGGCTCGGATGCTGACCACTCAGCCAGATGTTAATGGTGTACTTATGACCTGGAAATAGACTCCCTTGGCTAACGGTGTCACCTGAGCTCCTGTGTTCATTAGATAGAGCGTGGGATAGTAGCCTCATGTCTTTTTCACTGGAGTCGTTAATTTGTCTCACATGCAGTTCCAAGGAGCTTATGTTGACCATAGATATAAAGTTTCTGTTGCCTTTATTCTTTTTTCCTTGTAACACAATGGAAACATCTTAATTTCTAACCTGTCTTCAAATAAAATATTATCAAAAAACATATTCATAACTACTTGTACTTGTTCAAAAAAAGGAATTGTGTCGAAACATTGATATACTATCTCTATTATTTGTTCTTCAGAAGAATATAAAACTTTCAAACACGTATATATTTTTGTTTACTAACGAACAGAATATTTGTCACAACACGTACACGTTTCTGTATTTGTTTCTTGTGAGAATACTTTTATACATCTATATTTTGCATCCTGAAGAACTAACACGTTAATTGTTAAAAACATACATACGGTAACTGTCAAATTAAGAATACATAGAATTTTCAAAGTGATTATATAACTGTGTTTCTACATATTTCAGAAGGAGGAAAAAGTAGGTGGACGCACGTATGTTTGTATTTTGACTTCTGAGTGATAACGAGGGTTGCCAACATACAAAAAGAAACGTATTTTTTACCCAAACTTCTCTTAGACTGATCGCTATGAATAATGAAAATTTAAAAAAAAGAACATAAATTCAAGTGATTTCTGTTCGTAAATTTTTATTGTTGTAATGTACCACATCGTTACTCTACCAATGTATAGTCTCATTCGCTACTTAACATTTGATAAACGTTACATGGCATACGTCAAATAGAAGCCCGTGTGTATATAGAATGCACAGATTTTGACAAAGTAATACTTAGGCTACGCACTGACTTACCTTATAGGCGTTGTTTTCTGCTTTTTTGGTTATAAGTATGTACATTTGTTGGTGATAAATAAATAAACAGATCACCATTACCGTATGCGATTTAACGTCAACCTTTATGATATCAGTTTATATTTCGTAGTTTGTTTCAGCATCTAAAAATGTTATTAAATGAATGTTCTGAGACGTAGTTATGCAATACATTCAATAAACTTATAATTAATCAAACAAAACAACCTTTTATCATATCAGTTCAAATTTCGTTATTTCAGTTCGGACCAGACTGTGCAATCTTTTAGGAGATAAAAAATACTACATTTTAATTGCGAAAAGTTCACATTAAATAATCCGGTTTCAGTTTCGAGGACTAGAAGATGATGGATAGAAGAAATCTTTCAAATTTATATAACATAAAAAATATTATTTTGTATTTTAAATCATCTTCATGAACACATTTTGTTTGTTTAGAAATTAATAATGTTTATTGTCATTACTAAAAAATATAGTTTTCTCATTAAATTTATGAAGAATATCATTAATTTTATAATATTTTTCAAAAGTCTGTTTGCACTCATCTTTAATTTTATTAGTGTGTTAAGTTTCTTAAGTTAAATTTTAAAGATAAAAATGTTATTGGTAGACTTGTTAAAGTAATCTAAAAAGCTAATTTTATCAGAGGAACATACCACAAAAAAATTGTATCTCTTATACCATACCCCAGACAAACATGAAAAGTTGTATCTTTATTAAGCTTGTAAACTTGTTTAATTTCTCAAAGCAAGACTCGATAAATGCTTAGAAAAAAGCTGGCTATGAGATAAACTCCCATTGACAAAAGAAAGGACTATTCTTTTCTTTTTTATAAGAAACAAATACAAGTCATGCCATCATTTAACTGGGTCCGATGTCAAAGTACATGACTAGAATACGCATTTAATTTTTATACACGTTTAACAGTGATGAGGCGCTTGCGAAAGAAATGTATATGATTTTAAACTGTTTATATTCATAATAAGTAAGGTTTGCATACTCACGAAATTAAAAAAAATTAAATTATTTAGGTAGAGGTAAGTAAATAGCGATATTAGATAAACTTTTATTTAGTTATTTTGTTGTTTTAGGACAGCTGTCCAGTTCTTTAAAGGCAACTGAATAAATTATAATTTTTATTCGTAAGTCGTCAGTATTTTCTCAAGTTCGTAACTTGTACATACGTCAGCTGTCAAGTGTTGTGAAATGTTTCCAAATCTGACACAAAATGCCTTGTAGCAATCTCCGATAGCAAGCCATTTAAATTCAAATTCTATTGACTGTTTTATTTTATTTTTTAAGAAATCTTGAAGAACACTTGATAGATGTTGCCTATTCTGCCCATACGACACCTTAATTTTGACGAAAATAAAAATGAAATGGACAGTATTTGCTTAGTTCAGAGTGACAATTGTATATTATTCCTTCAAGACCTTTTCAACAAGTGTCATTTTGACTAAATAGTTGCTGCCCATTTCACCTTTGTTTTTCATCATGAATACTTTGCCTAAATCATCTATAAAAGTAAATCTTTATTCAGATCTGATACTTTTATGCTTTTATACTTAAAATAGTTTACTCTCACTGTGTGTTTGTTTGTTTGTAATTCAGCACAAAGTTACACAATGGGCTACGCCGCTGTGCCACTGGGGGGGGGGGGCAACTTTTACCGTGGGCATATACAGGAGTTGAACAAAACTATTTTGTATCGCCAATGGAATCGGCTTAATAACATGTGGTTCGACCTTTGGCTGATAGAACTGCTTCAATTCTTTATACTAGGGTATCTGTAAGTACGTAAAAGGAATTTGGACTCCATTTCTTTACGATACAATTTGACATAAAGCACAGCAATCTCGTTCACTCGTGATGATTTTCCAAACACTGTTACACCTACCTGATGAGATACTCATCATGCTGTAATAACCTCTGATATTGTTTTTCTTCCAATGGCAAGAAGTTGTGCAATTTGAGCCACAAAAGCATAAATTAATCGGACTCCTATGGTCATAAATCACACAGAATAGAGCTTACATAAGTTTAAATAAAACCTGTCTCAGAGGAATAGCAAATTAATCAATAAGCTGAAAGTCTTGTCAATGTAACTACTTGGGAGGAATGAGCTTATCTTTAAGTAGATGTTTCAGTTCTTTGTCCAATTCCTGGATCTGACACACACTATATAACCTTTGTTTCAGCTTTAAAAAGTGTGATCTTAAATAAACGTTTTCAGAAATAGCAAGGCAATATAATTAATAAACTTATAATTAATATTAAATAAAGCAAATATTGCATATTAATTGTTTATTTGTTGTTAGGCACAAAGCTACATAATGGGCTATCTGTACTGTGCCCACCGTGAGTATCGAAACCCAATTTTTAGCGTTATTTCTAAACATTGTTTTGTGTTGAAATGACAACTAATAAGCAAAGTATAAGTAAGTATTCAACATCACGTGTTTTTCTTAAATATAAAACTTGCATTGTAACTTACTCATTATTCTATCGATAAACTGACAGTGAGAGAATTAAAAGAGCTCCAGATTTATTTTCACAGTGCATGTGCGATACATAAACCGACATATATAACTAAGTTTTTAGCCGCGGCATATCGGCTAATACAATGGCTCTGAGTTTTTTGTTTGTTTTTTCAAGTACAAAATTTTAGCTTACAGCTCCATCTCTTGTCTTATTTGAGACCTAATTTGCAGCCGCAGCTATTGAGGATTCCCTCTTGTTTTCATTTTAAAACATAACCAAGTTGATAAAATCTAAATTGTTGCACCGTTTTTAAAATACAAAATACCAGTAACTTGTTATTATTATTATTTTCCATTTGATTATATTGGTTATTATAATAGTAAAATTTGGTAACATAACTGTCTGATCTATAAGGTTCTATTTGAGTGGTAAAGTTTGAAACCGTCTGATTTATATGATTCTTGGTATTAGAATTGTAAAATTTGATAACATAACTGCCTTTATATAAATTACACATAGAGGAAAATTGCAAGTAACTTTTTCATTCTTTAGTTAAAGTGAATGTATTATTGTACTTCTTGTTTTATTCGTACCCTTGCTAACCCCTCCAGCTACAGTATTCTATGGCAGTACTGGTCAATAAGACAGAAGCCCTGGGAACGCCACATCTGGATATTCCCAGAAAAGGTTTAGTGCCAGAAGAGCAAGAGGGTGAGTTTATTATTCCACAGATCTGCACAATCAATACTGTAGGTTTGTTAGAAATCTAAAACAATTGTTACTATAAGATTTTTTTTTCTTTTACAAAATAAATACACAGCTTTATGTAAATATTTCTTACCAAATCATTTTACACGGATAAAGAATAACTCAGGAATTTTGATATTTTGTATGAAATTAATGCGATTGTACTTCTAAACACTAAGTTTGTGTTGTTCTAATAGTGGTTTAGCATTTTATCTTTTCTTGTTCTAAATTAAGTGAAATATCCGAAATATTTGAATTCAGAACTACTCGTGTAAAGAAAATAATTTTCAATCTATTTTACTAGAATTTAATTGGTCTACATCGTGATTTGGCTAATTAAATTATTTTCATTGATCAATATTTCTGTGACATTTGTTATTCGTGCATTGTTTCATGCATGTCATACATCAATAAAACAATATTCTTATTCTAGTGTTTCAAGTCTCGCTGCCATGCACAGGTAAACAAAGTGAAGAAGTTGACGTAAGAATTCAAATCAACGTGACCACAGAAAGCCAATTAAACGTTACATTTCTGACATTGAAACGAAGAAAGATTTGTCTGAAAGGTAAGTGGGAACTTGCAGTGCGATCTTAACAGTTAAAATAATGTTTTAACTGTTGTATTATGGGTTATCTAACCTATATAAAAGCCGGTGTGTGTTATATCACGCTTGAATTCTCAAAATAGGAGGAGTGATAAAAGCCAAAATGCATTTATCCAGATCGAATAGTTTGATTACTGTCTGCCCATTACGATTTTAGTGACGGAGGTCCCGTGAAACCTTATAAGTGTCGTGAGTGTTGGTATTATAAGCCTAAAGTAAAGACGTAGTGTGGAATCATCTAACCTAGAGCCAAGTGCACAAAATTTATCATGAAAGTAAAAATATTGATTCAGTTTTAAACTTAAGTTGTTTCTGACTAAGTTATTTTCTGTTATATCACCAACGTTTTTAATAACAAAAACAAATCTCTTTAATCAACGGAGACTAAATTAAGAAATCAACAAATATTTTTCCAGTTTCCATTTCATTTTATACTTTCAGTACATAGACTAACAACAATATTAGGTTATACTTTTATTGTTAAGCAACATGACATGAAAGCCATTGTTGGAACATAGTGTTACCAAAACGCACTGGCTTTTATATATATTAGAAGTTGTTAATCTAACTGGTTTTTACAAATAATTATTCTATGAATACGTCACGAATTCATAGAATGTATGATCTTAATTTTGATTGGTTCACAAAGGAAATTACCGACGTTTGACTGCCTCCGATTGCACTTTTTTTCTTCTTGGTTGGTCAAGCTTGATTTCTCAAAATTTATGTATTTCAGGTAGCTATGAAATGTGAGTTAAGGTATACTATGCGGTGGGGGTGATAGTACTTGTCCCGTCATTTTTGACGGGCTATACGCTAGTAATAAAATAATGTCTATATAAAAAATTGTTTTTATCAGAGTTGTTATACTTATATAGATGTTATCAGGTATTGCTGACATGATCAAATGTAATTTAAGCATAATTATTTCTCTTAAGTAGACTGAACCTTATAAAATATAAGATTTTGACTAAAATGTAATTGAATGATGATTTGTTACAGTCTACTCTGTGTGTATACTTAATGTTCTTAAATGCATTAAATGCGTTATAAATCATGTTGCCGATAATCTTCTTTTTGTTTCGAGTCTTTTGAAATGTTCTGTAGTAGCTATTGCATATCTTATTAAATACTAATACTGAGGTATGTAAACAAATCTTACTTTCCTAGTGTTACGTATCTGCTTGTTTGTTAATTTCCGGTAGAAATTCTTTCCGAGGAACTTCAGCGATACAAGTCCTTCCTTTCTTGATTAAACCAGTTTATTCTTTCTGGATACAAACTTTTAGTACACAGTATTTCCACAGTCAGTACGTTTCTCGTCACTTTAAACTTAACAACTTTTATAATACATGCTATAAATCACAGCGATTCACAGTCTCGATGACTTTGCTCTCTACGAGTGCAAAACACACACTAGCCCAAAACTCACCGTGACTATTGTTCGCTTTATCATACATTCAATAATGCTGACTTTCCTCGCCAGGCTTATATACTGACAAAGAGGCGTCTCGATCACACTCGAGCTTCCCCGATAATTCGTGAAACTCACTCATACATGCGCTAGCAGTGTCACGTGACACTGCCCCTTCCTTAGTATTGTTTGTCCCGAACAATAGCCACTTACATTAAACCAATAAATAATTAACAATAACTTGATTAAATGTACAGAATTCACAAACACAAAATTAAAATTCAACAAAGTATCTTAATTTTACGGGACATATCTTCTTCCGTACTGGTCTCTGTTTCGTTTGCTTCTGCTTCATGTGGGGTTCATCTGCTTCATCGGGAAACGTCCTATCATTGGTAACAGTCACATCAGTGGTAGTAACTTCATCAAGGGCTTCGCTGTTTCCCTTCTCAAAATCGGGTAGAGTTTCTTCTTCAACAGTGGCTTTTTCAGGTAACACGTCTTCAGCAGCATCATTTTTCTTTCTCTGTATTCAATATCATAATTATGGTCTAACATTCCGATCCAATGTACCAGTTGTCCCTCTGGGTTCTTTAATTATCTTAACCAGCGTAATGCAGCATGGTCGATCCTGATGGTAAACCTAGCCCCATAGAGGTAAGGATGGAAATATGTCAGACTATTTACTACAGCAAGGAGTTCCCTCCATGTTACACAGTAGTTCCTCGCTGGTATGCTTAACACCCTGCTGAAGTAGGCCACCACATGTTCGTTTTCACCCACTTTCTGAGACAACACTCTTCCAATTCTGAC